AAATTAAAATTTCATAGGGCCCTATTATTGTATACAAATTAATAAATTAAGTTGTTTTTATGAATTCAATTAATTAGATATGTTTTTGATTAAACCATTAAAATGGAATACAGAAAAATTTAAATGGAAAGCGCAGAATTTGGGCCCTAAGAATGTAATTTTTTGTTAAACTTTTAATAGGCCTAAATTTCAGTTCAATTAAACAAGTTTCATGATTTTAATTCATTAAACATGTGTTTTGTTAAAATTTAATATAATCATCCAGAAAAATTAAAACGAGAGAAAAAAAAAAAACTGAATGAAAAAAAGATTTTGGAAAAAATAAAACTTAGGCTAATTTGGGAAAATTAAAATGGATTTCATAGGGCCCTACAAATATCATGCATCTGAAGCTGTAATTTTAATACTAAGCAACAGTGCATATTATATAGGACCTATTTTAATTTTTTTAAATGGTGCTCACTCGTTTTTGTGAAAGACCCAAGAAGGACCATGCACAGTCACTTTCCACACAGGCACACTTCATGTTTGGTTGAAATAATCCTTAAGCATGTAAACGTATAATTTCCTTCAGTTTAATTTAAATGTGCAATTAAAATAAATAAAAAATAAATGTATATTTTAAAGTTTAGAATTAGACAGCCTTGCGTTGTGTAGACAATTGCATAGTGAAAATTACCCCAACGCACCACCTAGTGTCCAACCTACTCTAATACTATTATAACCTGTTTAAATGTGAACAAGGGATTTACAACATTAAAGAAATCCTTTATTTATAACATGTACATGAAAAATCTAAAAGATTAGACACAACTATGGGACACGGTCGTGCAGCAGCGAGCAACAGTGAAAGGAACCTCAAGGTTGTGAAATTGTATAGGGCCCCATTCCTGCATTTTGCCTGGGGCCCCCAAATCACTAAATCCGCCCCTGCATATAAATGCAAGGCAGTAAGCTCATTGGCTGCACATGGAGCATGAACCAATCAGCTTGTGCCAAGTCGTTTAACTCTCTGAATACCATCAGTTATGTTAACAACCCGTCAGCCTGCGCCATCTAGAGTTTCATGACTGAACTATATATTTATCAGTTTTATTGATTTTCATCATCAACAAGAAAGAAAGAAAGAAAGAAAGGTCATACATAAATTGAAAGTGCAGCAGTTTCTGGTAGATGGCATGAGGTAGAGAGAAGCAGGACCCCATGACCCAGATTACACCAATCCAGGCTATGCCCTGAAGCCGAGACATCCTCTGTTTCAATGGATGCATCACCACCTGATGGACAACAATAATCATCAATCATGACTGCACACTGGCACGCACTGATTCATTCAGTTTTAATTAGAGTATGAAAAGCTATTCACTCTAAATGTTTCATTGTTAATTACAAATGGTTGCATGTGTCTGTTTGTAAGAACACTTACCTGGTGTCTATCAACAGCAATAGCAACCAGTGTAAGAACAGAGACATGAACAGAACAATACTGTGCAAAGCGGCTCACATGGCACATCGCCTTCCCAAACACCCATGTACTGTAAACAAACCGAACCTGAAAGAACACATATGCAACAGAGTGGCCTTGGATCAAGAGGCATGTAAGAATTAAAAAGCATGCACATGCTCACCCCTACACACTTACAGAGAGATGAATCATGCACCTCCTCTGTATAGTCATTACTAAACAATTAAGAGCAATGATAGAGATAACTTGCACACACACACACACACATACCAGAGGAAAAATGCAGCATAACCATACCAAGGCCTTAACCATGTCTTGAACACCGGGGGTATTATTTACATATGTAAGTTCTACCATATTTTCCATTTAAAAAGGTCATATGTAGTTTGCATAACTTGGGGCCTTGGGGTAGGGACGTCTAATTATTGACCAAATAGACTGATTATAAAACTGACTGATATAATAGTCTCAATGACAAATAAGGATTCTTAAGAGGATAACAAAGAGTAATCTTTTAAAAAATCCTGTTTAAAAACCATGTGTCAAATTCTTAACGTGTATTCATGATGAATTTATGTTTTTAATGTACTTTTTTTATTTTTATGACTAGTCCAAAAATGTTAACTGGCATAAAAATCAAGTAAAAAAAAAAAAAAATCGAATAAAGTATTTTACTTGAATCATGTATATACATGAGTTTATACATGAACAAACTTAATCATTATTTTCAAAAGGAAAAAAAAAAGGACTTTTTTGAGTAACATATCAAGAAATTTCTTTAAGTAACAAAACAATTATCACTAAAAAAATAATGAAATTTAAAAAATAATTAAAAACTGACATTTTATATACAGTTTTTCAAATACAATAAATAATAATATAATAAATGAACTACTAATACAATTTTTCATTTGAACTATATAGCCTGCAAAATGTCAGCATTTATTTTAATTCAAACGACAGTTACACATGAACTTTATCCTCAACAAACATCGCAACATCACAATTACTTTTATTTTGTATTTATAGAAAATGACTACTTTTTGCATTAATTATATTGTTTAATGTATTTTGAATAAATTCAAGATCCAGACAATGAGCGATTGATCCAATAACAGAATTGTCTAGATTTTGAATGGCATAAAGCAACAAGAGTAAAACTATAACAGCCTATTTTTATTTTTTTATTAATTTAACAATAACAAATATGTTTTTATGTAAACAAGTGAAACTAGTGTAAACTTACCAGAGTAAAAGGCGTGTTGAGGAGAGTTATAAGAATGTCAGCAATGGCTAAATTCATGATGAACAAACTTGTCACTGAGTGCATCCGTTTATTCTTAATAACAACGTGACAAACCACCACGTTTCCGAACAGCGAGATGATGATAATAACGGAATATGCGACGACGAGCAGCGCTCTGATGGTCGGTCTGTGGGATTCAGACTCGTAATTCGCTCCTCTGTCGTACATCGCGTCCAAAGAGAAATTAAAATACATGGAGAAATTCTGCAAGATAAAGAACTGCAAAAATAAATCCACGGAGGTGTTGGTGAATGTCATCGTAACGAGGTTGCAGTTTCAAAAACACCAAAGCGCAGTTCTGACCCACTTTTGGACAGTTTGGTGGTGTTTGACTCAGCCTTCTGCGAGCCAAACGCTGGAGCGCAGCGTCAAGTGAAGCGGATTGGACGATAGCCACAGTTATTAATGATTCGTCTCAACCCCTGGCATGATCATATCACAGTCGTCGCCCTAAGCACTGCCACCTCACACACACACACACACACACTCAGGTTTGTTTTTATGGTTTATGGGGACTCTCCATAGGCGTAATGGTTTTTATACTGTACAAACCGTATTTTCTATTGCCCTACAACCCTACCCCTAAACCTACCCCTCACAGGAAACTTTCTGCATTTTTAGATTTTCAAAAAAACTCATCCTGAATTATTTATAAGCCTTTTGTATTACGGGGACACTGAAAATGTCCTCATAAATCACCTTCTCGTTGTAATACCTATGTCATATCCATGTTATTATACAAATTTGTGTCCTCATAAACCACATAAACATGCACACACACACACACACACACACACACACACACACAGGTTTGTTTTTGTGAAAAGTGGGGACATTCCATAGGCGTAATGGTTTCTATACTGTACACACCGTATATTCTATTGCCCTACACCAACCCTACCCCTAAACCTACCCCTCACAGGAAACTTTGTGCTATTT